GGCAGCCCTCCAGCCTCACATCTTGTTGCTTCTCACTCCTCTCCCACAACCACACTCCCTCCTGCTTCTGAGTAGGCTCCAACAATTTTTAAGGGAGTCCATCCCCTTTCAAAGCCTCCTGTTAGTGATTGGCTGAGGTCCCTCAAAAGTTCAGCCAACCACACCGCAGAACCACCCATTGCCTCCAAGGCCCTCCTCCTAAAGTCTCAGAGCAGGGCTAAATTGCAGAGGAGCCAACCTGCAGAGTCTCTCAGCCCTGACCACAATGTGACTCCTCTGACTATCTCACTTTCTAGCCATCAAGGTCAAGCTCCCCTAGCTAATCTAATAGTGTGCTACATTTTTTCTTGCTTTTTTATCTTTATTTTTGCCTGGTGATACTGCCAGTAACACACTTCCTGCCCTAGGGAGACAACGCTAACTCACCATATTGTATCTATGGAGAACCAGCAATTGTAAGGGAATTCCCATGAGACGGCTGGCAAATAGACGTGCGCATGTGCACAGAAATGCGCGATCGCGCACATGCATGCGCTCGTGCACACGCACGGCGAAGATCGGCACCAGACGGACTATTTAAAAGGTGCCTCTGCCTGTGCTGAGTGCTGACTGGTATTCAGCTGTTCCCCGTTTCCTGCTCCTTTCTGTGTGATTTCCTTGTTGCTGACCCGGCTTGTTCCCGACCTGACTCTGATTACTCCCCTGCTTGATACTGGTTCCTGACTTCGGCTCTGCTCCTGATCTTGGCTTGCTTATGATTTGGTACCTCGCTGTCCGCCCGTTGATGACCCTGGCTATTTCTATGACACTGCTCCTGTCTCCTATCCCTGCTTCCTGCCTTGCTCTGGTGCACACCTGGCGATCTACCATACCAGCTCTGCATATTACTACGGTGCCTGAATCAGAGGTTCATCAGTCTTCCAAAGTATCCAGCTGGAAGAGCTGCAAACAACATCTGCTGGCGCTCTTGTCCCCCTGGTCCCTAGACACCCTCTGTTTAACTTCTACATCAATTTTTCATCAGTTTTTTACAACCATTTAACCATTTGTATCCAAGAGTCATAATTCTTTTCTTTTTTTTTACATTTTTTGTTTACATGATTAAAAAATAATTTTAGTCTTGAAAATTACTTAAAACCTCCAAACATGATATATTTTCTGAAAGCAGACACCGTAGAGGATAAATTTGTATTAGTTCCAATTTTTTATTTCAATTGATATTGCAACAGTTTATAAAATGCAGAATTTCAGAAAAAAATATACAAAAGTTAATTTTAGGGCACACAACCACAATACTTTACCCAATTTTTTGGTAAAATAAAAACTTAAAGTTGCACTGAGTAAATAGATACCCAACATGTCAAGCATCAAAATTGTGTGCACCCAAGAAACAGCAAAAAAAGTCAATACCCTATATTTTTAATTTTATATTTTCTATAGGTGATGCTTTAAAAGCCCCTAAAGGTCATCAATTTTGTGTTATCCATGAGATCTGGTGCTAAAATTATTGATCTCACTTTTTTATGTATGGAAGCCCCAACGCTTGCATACTTTATGTATGTCTGCGTATGTGGGGATGGGGAGGCTACTTTTTTTTTTTTAATGTGGTTTTTTTTTAACTTATGATTTTATTGCTATTACATAGGGGACCAATAGTCCCCTGTGTGATAGCATATAAGTGACAGGTCCTCTTTGTAGGGGGGAGGGGTTCTCTCCTCTCTTGCTGTTCTCTGCCTCTCCATCTTCAGTACACACAGCCTCCCAACCCCCCCAAAAATAGTCAGTCTGCCCCTGATTGGGGTCCATGTGTCTCGGAATGGCTGGGCCCCTCCGGATGCCTGGGACCCCTACATGCTTATTGGTTGCCCCCCTGATGGAGGCAACAGCAACAGCGTATCAAAAATATTGGTGCTATATAATTGCATGCCTCAAAAATTTTGGTGCAGGTTGGTCCTTTCTTTATCCAACAGGGAGCGGGGTTTGCATGTGGTGATGTAATAGGTGGTTGGGGGGGGGCACAGTTTCCCAGTTTTGCCCTGTGCACTGGATGAACTTGTCCCAGCACTGCATAGAATGCATAAAGGTAGAAAACCTTCATCACTTTAATTGTTTTTTTTTTTTCTACATTTGTACAATCTTTGTGCTTACATTGTTAATTTATTAAATATATCATCAGTAGATTAGCCAATAGGGGGAGCCCTGAGTTACTCAGTCCAGTTACACTGTGTCTCTTGACAACTGTTGAGATAAGATATCAGCCACACAGGGAGTTAATTGTTTTCAGTGAGTTGGCTGATTCATTAGGATTGATTTACTAAAGGTGAGTAGGCTGTTCACTTTGCTAGAGAATTTTCCCAGATCTTAGTGAATGTGGTAAATGGAAGTCGTTCATTGATGGAAGTCATGATTGGAAGATGGAATGAACATAATCTCATTCACTAAACTCTGGTTCAAATTCTCTTGCAGCCTATTTGTCCTTAGGTAAATCATTCTAACAGACTCACATTGCGGGAATGAGCGGTAAAGTGCAACCGTTGTGTAGCAATTCAATGTTGGAAACAGGTGAGGTGAATATACGTACTAATAGATTGTTCACTTCCATACTCGGCACTTTCACCCCCTTCCTGTCCAGGCTATTTTTTCACGTTTCAGCACTCTCACACTTTGAATGACAATTGCGCGGGTCATACAACACTGTACCCAAACTAAAATTTAATCATTTTCTTCACACAACTAGAGCTTTCTTTTGGTGGTATTTTATCATCACTGGGGTTTTTATTTTTTTGCTAAATTAACAAAAAAGTCCAAAAATTGTGAAAAAAAAACAAAAATTTTCTTTGTTTCTGTTATAAAAGTTTGCAAATAAATAATCATTCTTCAAAAATGTAGGCCGAGATGTATTCTGTGCATTTATAGGCGTTTTAATTTTTTTTAACTCTTCCATTTCCAGATGCTGTCCAGAGCCTTTTTTCATCATGAAAAATGCATGCAAAGTGTTTTCCTGGTACTCAAATGGACCCGGTACGCCATACTTTGAGGTTAGACACTGCTGCAATAATTTCTGCACAGAAATGAGTTGGAACACATCCAAACACCCACAAAAAAAAAAGACAGCTAATCTCAACAAATACTGCTCTCTCTGCTTCTGCTCTCTCTATTTCTCTCAAAATGTCTGAAATAGTTAATTTTTTACTGTGTTTCAGTGCATTCTGGGCATTTTGAATGGTCTCCTGAAGTTATCTTTAAAAAAAACCCTTCTCAACACAAACGCTCATAAACGCGGTATGCAAATGCTCTCAAATGAGAGTATGTTGCATGTTCCCCTAAACCTAGAAGCATCAGGTATTGTTACAACTGCAGTGAGGAAGGTAGTTGTTGGGGAGTGCTGGCAAATAATATTATCGTTTCTGGAGAGCTCTTTGCCATGACACTATCATTTTGCCCTGAAAGCTTTTCTGTAGATCTGGTTTACCCTCCAGATTATCTTCACTTAGGTAGTCGCACTCATTTGCTCCATGTAAAATCAGTGATTTGTTTGATCAGACATCCTCTGTTTCTTCTGTATACACCACTGTCTACAGTTTTCACCAAGTTAGATGTGGAAACTCGTAATTAAGAATGTATCCTGCCATCCCTCTCTGCCAATCCCTCCCCTGGCCTCCACTCAGTGTCCTCCACCCCTCTCTGCCAATCCCTCCACTGGCTTCCCATTGCCCAACAAACAAAATTCAAAACATTAACAATCACATATAAAACCATTTATAACTCTGCCCCAAATTACATCACCAATCTTGTCTCCAAATATCTCCCAAACTGTCCTCTCTGCTCCTCCTACAACCTCATGCTCTTTAGCTCCCTTGTCTCCTCTCCTATCATGCTCGTCTCTAGGACTTCTCCAGAGCCTCCCCCATCCTCTGGAACTCTCTACCCCAATCTATCAGACTATCACCTACTCTGCCCACTTTTAGGTGATCTCTGAAATCTTTTCAGGGAAGCCTATCCTGCCTTCAGCTAATAATGGAATCTTCTATTCCTTCTACCAGTCCATCCCCCACAGTTATTACCTTTTGTACCACCAGCCCCTCCTCTTAGATTGTAAGCTCCAAGGAGCAGGGCTTCCTAACCCTCTTGTATTGAACTGTATTGTTGCTGTATTGTCTCCCTTTATTTTGTGAAGCGCTGAGCAAACTGTTGGAGCTATATAATAATAATAATTCTTCATAACCTGATCATTCACAGAGTCAACTCCCTCAGCCCAAGTGTTGCTTTTCACAGTTTCCATTACACAGATGTAAAAAAAATTCAGAGTGGGACCACACCCATATTTCTATAGAAAAGCTTGGTTGGCTGAGATGTTACTTATGAAGGATGTCTTTATGGGAACTTTGAGGAAAGATGTCTGAGTGTAATTTTAGATGTCTATGGTGTAGTATATTGTGGTTTAAAAAATTTGGTTGGAGATATAATTTTGGCTAGGTAGCAAATCTAAAATATACAGTGGGATTGATACTCTACAAACTGAAAAGTTCAAAATCTGGAGCAGCTGAGCATTTTAGTCAATCAGTTTCTAAGTTCAGATTGTTCATTTAGTCTTTGACACAACAACCTTGAAGCTGATTGGTTTCTATGCAGAACTGCAGTAGATTTTGCACTCTCCAGCTTTTGTAAATCAACCTCACTGTGTAGTGTATTGTGATGTGCAGCATTTTGTTGAGATGTTTCGGTCTAGTTGATAGCTCAAAATTGTCCATTCCTGAGCACATTGTGATGGGAGAGCTTTGGTTGGAGGTATATTATGTCCAATAAGCAAGATTTAAATATACACGGTCCAACAAAACACGATGGGAGAAATTTAAATGAACCTGAAAGTTTTTGGCCTGAAATTACAGGAGAAATAAAAAAGGAACACAGTTTAAAAAAAAAATCTAAATTCCACTCAAGAGAATAAACTTTTTCAGTGACAATTATCATGATCTAAGTGCCTAAAATTCTCCTTAGTATCACAAAACATGAGCAAGGTTGCTATGTATCCTATGAAAAGAACATTGCATGATGAGCTTCTTCAGAGCCTGTTTTACATCTTGGTTCCGTAGGCTGTAAATAAAAGGATTCAGCATAGGGGTAATGATGGTGTAAGCCATGCTAACAATGCGATCATACTGGGACGAGTAATCTGATGGAGGACGGAAGTAAATGAAAATGTCTGCGGTACCATAGAACAGGCAAATGACCATGAGATGAGAAGAGCAGGAAGAAAAGGCTTTGCTTCGGCTGCTCCTAGTTTCCATTTTCAGTATAGTCCATCCAATGAGTACATAGGAAAAGAGTATGAAAAAGAATGGAATAATAACAACCATAGAACCTTCAGTGAATATTAGGAGTTCAGCTAGTTTAGTACTGGAGCAGGACAGTTTGATGAGGGGTGTCACATCACAGAAGAAGTGGTGGATTAGCCTGTCCTCACAGTAAATTAATTTTGACAGAATATAAGTGTGCAATAATGAATGTAGAGAAGCTGCCACCCAGCCGGTACTAACCAAAATGGCCATAACCTTATAATTCATTAACAATATGTACCTTAAGGGGATACAAATAGCCAAATATCGATCAAATGCCATGACTGACAGAAGAAAAATCTCGGTGGTGCCCAAAAACACAAAGAAATACATCTGCACGAAACAGCCAAGGAAAGACATGGAGGTTCCTTCATGAAGAATGCTCGACAGTAGCTTGGGAACAGTCACTGTAGAGAAAGAGATGTCGACTACTGATAGGTTACCCAAGAAAAAATACATTGGTGTGTGCAGCTGCTGAGAAAATGTAATAGAGCTTAGTAAAAGAAAGTTAGCCACCCAAGTAAGTGCATATATAGCTAGAATGACAGAGAAGAGAACAGCATGGTTGTAGTGAAAGTCTGAGAAGCCGAGAAGAATAAAACCGGAGGTTAGGTTTACTTTTTCCATCGAAACTTAGGAAAAATAAAGACCACCAAATTACTCCAAGAAACATGGATGTCACCTTTCTGTAGGATACCCAACCTCCATGTGTTCAAACATAGGCTATGGCTCACAATGATTAACGGAATCCCGAAGTATCTTCCATGTTATCCATGTTATATCCAAGCTTCACAGGATTCCCAGTGTGTGCAACTTAACACCATGACTAAAAGAAAGCAGTGCATTCTATATCTGACTTTAGGAAACTAAAAGATCTAAATAAATGTAACTTAGAAGTCAATACAAATGTATACATAACCAGACCCAGAATTATGGGGAGGAGGACAGTGAACATCAATTAACCTAAAAAAGAGCAAAGTTGGAGGTTAGATAGAGTTTTGTCTTTGAAGATAAACTACAGTTTAATGTATTGGTTCATTTTTATAAATTTTCCTGACAATGGGACACCAGGAACAGTATTTTAAAGAACTGTTAACATTTTAAACCATTAGCCACCCGGCCTATAGCCGTTTGGCGGCCGCAAAAATGCTGTAGCTTTCCGGGGTGTACACCATTTGGCGTCCTCCCGCACATGCGCAGTTTGCGCGGTTGCAGAGCGGCACAGCAGTGCGATCTGTCACCGGCCCCCGTTGCTGGTACCATGTGACCTGTTGTGACCAATCACAGCAGGTCGCATGACAGTTGTATACAATGGATGGCTTCATTCATGTCATCCATTGTATACTAGTGCCTAGCTGTGAATGGTCACAGCTAATCACATGCACATGTCATGTGATTAGCTGTGGCCAAATCACAGCTAAGCACAAAAAACAAAAAAAAAACAAAACCTGAATGAATCGATGTCATTCAGGTAAATGCTTGCTTATAGCAAAGTAATTCTTTGCTATAAGCAAATTGTGTAAAAAAAAAAAAAAAAAAAAATTACTGATCACTTCCCCAAAGTAGTACAATGTTACTGTGGTAACATTGTACTACTTTGGTCATAGTAAAAAATATGAAAAACAAATCTTAAAAAAAATGACGCTGTGTAATAAAAAAAAAAAAAATTGAAAAAATGTTTTTAATTAAAAAAAAAAAAAAAACTATATATATATATTTTTTTTTCATTTGGAGGATACTGTCACCAGTCAGTGTCCCTGTTCACCACCATGCCAGATATTAAGACAGGACCCAAGATATGATGACGCTGTACTGCACTGGTGACAGTATGTAAAAAAAAAAAAATAATTGAAAATAATGTTTTTAATTTTTTCATTTTCCGAAAAATTATGACAAAAAAACTACAACTTCAAAAAACTCGCCATGCCTCTTATGAAGTACGTCGGACTGTCTACTCTGCAAAAAGGGGTCATTTGGAGGTACTTGTCCTGACATCTGGGGGATATCTGTACTGTCCTGACATTTGGGGGATATCTGGTGACATTTGGGGGATATCTGTACTGTCCATGACATTTGGGGGGATATCTGTACTGTTCTGACATTTGGGGGATATCTGTACTGTTGACATTTGGGGGATATCTGTACTGTCCTGACATTTGGGGGATATCTGTATGTCTGACATTTGGGGGACTGTCTGATTGTTCACATTTGGGGGATATCTGTACTGTCCTGACATTTGGGGACTATCTGTATTGTTCTGATATCTGTACTGTCCTGACATTTGGGGATATCTGTACTGTCCTGAATATCTGTACTGTTCTGACATTTGGGGGATATCTGTACTGTCCTGACATTTGGAGGATATCTGTACTGTCCTGACATTTGGGGGATATCTGTACTGTTCTGACATTTGGGGGATATCTGTACTGTTCTGACATTTGGGGGATATCTGTACTGTTCTGACATTTGGGGGATATCTGTGTACTGTTCTGACATTTGGGGGATATCTGTACTGTTCTGACATTTGGAGGATATCTGTACTGTCCTGACATTTGGGGGATATCTGTACTGTCCTGACATTTGGGGGATATCTGTACTGTTCTGACATTCTTGGACCTCAAGAAATTAGATTGGCTGTCAGTACTTCAGGATTGATCAATATTCAGATCTATACCATAGTTTGTGAACTCTATAACTTTCCTACAAACTAAATAATACATCCTAATTTGGGTTATTTTCACCAAAGACATGTAGCAGAATATATCTTGGCCTAAATTTATGAAGAACAATTATTTATTTGTAAACTTTTATAACAGAAACAAAGAAAAACGTGTTTTTTTTTTTTCAAAATGTTTGGTCATTTTTTGTTAATTTAGCAAAAAATAAAAACCCCAGCGGTGATTAAATACCACCAAAAGAAAGCTCTTGTTGTGTGATGAAAATGATAAAATTTTAGTTTGGGTACAATGTTGTATGACCGCGCAATTGTCATTCAAAGTGTGAGAGCGCTGAAATGTGAAAAACTGGCCTGGGCAGGAAGGTGTAAAATTGCCCGGTATTGAAATGGTTAAACAATCTAGAAGCAGTTTCTTTAGATGACTATTCCAGATTTTCACTGCTCAATATTTTCTGCAGCTTTCAGCCACAAGGAGAGCCTTTGTATATTTTGCAATAACGTCATCTGAACCAGTGGCCCCCAAACAGATTGTCACATTTTCTATAATTATAGCCCCCCTGTAATTTTCTGCTAACTTTCTCTTGAAAAGAAAGAACATTTTTGCCAAAAATTCTCTGCTGGTTATCATATTTTTGTTTGTATCCTACCATAAGGCTGCTAGAGGTATGAAAAAGTTATGTTGGCAATTAATGAATTAATCAGATAATATTTTTTCATATACTGTAGGTACAATATTTGCGTAATACCAAACCATTAGTGATACGTCAATCAGTCAAAAAAAAAAATTCTAAAAATGATGAATAATGTTTTTTATATAACTGTTGTTAGCTCTTTGAGGAGCAAACTTTCTGATCCAGGTGCTAGGTTCTCCTAATTGGTTTTTCACCCTATCAATATAAGGACACTGTGTTTGGCAGTAATTGTGTTTTATATGTTTGAAAGAGAAAAAAAAGAAAAAAAGTACTTTTGTACTTCCTGAGGACAATCTATTGATTGAAACTAGTCGAGGGCTTATGACACAACTTCCGCTGATGTCACTTCCGGGATTTGGAACACGTGCTGGAATGCGGCTGCCATCTTAATTCCCATTTGTAATATACAAAGCTGAATGCACCTAGTGCCAGGAAAGGCATTTTTTTTTGTGAGTGGCATTTCTATTGTTTGACCCCATATTAACCCCCCTGGCGGTTTTCCCGAGTGTAGCTCGGGGTAAAGTTTCAGCACCACAATCGGTAACCCCGAGCTACACTCGGGAATACCCTGCAGCGCTGCTCCGGGATCCCTCAATCACTTACCTAGTCCTGCGCTCCTGCGATGTCCCCCCTGCAGTGTCCCCGGCAATGTCCTCCTGCGGACGCCGGCATCTGTTATCCAGGTTCTGTCCCCTGCTACGTCAGGACGTACGGGGGACAGAACGGCGGGAAATTCGAAAATGACAAAAGTGACATTCACTCAATACACTAAAATCACATAGTATAACATTCCTGTATCAAACCATTTCACATACATTTTGTCCCAAGTGCTTTGTCCTGTGCCCTGCCTGCATTTTTACTGTTCTTTCTGCCTGGAAACTGAGAAACGTCCATGGCGCCCAAAAAGCGTCCCTTTAGGTCAAAAGCGGTTTTAGACCGGCTAGAGAACAGTGATAGTAAATCAGAACCACTTGCAGAATTGAGTGATAATGATTTGTGGGGGAAATTCCTCATCAGACACTGAAAACGATTCTGCGACTTTGCTCAGCGATGTGTGAACTTGGCGCTCTATTTCACATTTCAGTGTTTTTGGTTTGATTATATTATTGAATTAAATTTATTATTAATATTTATGATTATTTATTAAATTATAATTTATGATTTTGTGTTTCAAATGTTATCATACCCGGGATGTTTACTAGACTCTTGTTCGGAAAGATTTCAGTGAGTTATCCCTAAAAATTACAGGCCTACAATAAAAAAAATACATATATCTATTCAAAAAATGTACCGCTTTGAGCACAGAAATATGGACATATTCAGACTGCTAGGGAGGTTAAAGTTTTATACGGTTTTACACTATGGGATGTCTGGTTTTGTTTTGATTTATGCTGAAAATATGAAATACTGCCTGTGGATGAGAGGAGTTGCCTAACACTGATGCAGATCCTGTGGAAAGCTATTGGTTACTACCAGCAACCACGGTTATAAGGGCGAAGGAATATCTGCCATCAGGACCGGATTGCAAACTGGGATAGTCCCAAAAAGTGAGTGTGACTTACCTAGAGACAGGTGGTCATAAAATGACGGTGAGTTTACATCTATGTGGGGCACCATTGTGAACACAGTGAAGCACTTGTCATTTCAATATGGAGTATCACCATTAAAGATACAGCACCGCTGCACCAATTATTCACATGTTGGGACAGAATCAGGGGCGGACTGACAACTCATGGGGCCCGCAGGCAATAGGGGATCATGGGGCCCCTGTGTCCTTGCCCAAACTCAAAATAGCCTATGAAAAAGGTACCAGGGGCATCTCATGGGGCCCCCTACTGACCCCGGGCCCTGGGGCAGTGCCCGAGTTTCCAAATGGTCAGTCCGCCCCTGGACAGAATATTAATATTGTATTTGTATTTTGCTCAGCGCTATCACTTTAAAGATTAGGTTTATTTTGTCTATTGGTGACCTTAGAGCAGTCCATTTTTGAAATATATAATAATTGTGTTTTAGACACAATGACATTGAGCACAAGGGACATTGCGTTCTTTGCATATACAGAGCTATAGAAGACATTTATTAAATATACC